TTGTCTCAGTTTCCTCAACTACAAAATGGGGATAATAACGGTACCTCCCCAGGGTGGTTGTAAGGAACAAATGAGATGATCGTAAGGCAATTAGCACAGTACTTGGCACACAGGAGGTGCTTAATAAATGGTTACTGCCTTCTCTTCCCCTGAAGATTCTAAAATTTAGGCTGAAGTGAGGAGGAAGAGCATTCCTGGTATTGGGGATAACTCGTGCAAAGGCACAGACATGAGCAACAGAACAGTATGGATAGGCAAGAGCAAGGAAGCCAGTGCGGCGAGCCTAACGAATGTGTAACTGACAGGAAAGACTGGCTGGAAGCACCCCACGAAGGGCTTTCAATACCAAAGAGACGAGTCCATATCTGATCATACAAACCCAGGAGGGGACTAACTATGCTGGAAACAGCCCAGGAACATGGTAATATGTGTTAGCAATATCAATCTGGCCACTACGTGGAAGATGCTTTGGAAGGGAGAAAAGGAAGTGGGAAAACCAGTTAAGATGCTGCTGCAATAATCCAGGTGAGAGCGGATGAGGACATGAAATAAGGCAGTAGGGACAGATGGGAGAGACACTGAGGCAGAATCAGAGAGACTTGGCAACTAATCAGAAAAGAGAAGGCTAAGAACCACTGAAACTGGAAGGAAGGTGGTACCTTCAAAAGAAACTGAGAAGCTGGGTCATTTAGGGGAAAATATCATGAATTCAGGTCAAACATTTTGAGTTTGAGATGCCAGTGGGAGAGCCAGGTGGAAATGTCTGGCAAGCAGTGAAGATATGAAATTGGAGCTCAGGAGAGGTGAGTGCTGCATATTGAGATGTGGAAGCCAGTCTCACAGAAATGATAGCTTGAAGCCATGGGGAGTTGATGAGATCACCTTCCATTTACAACCTCTATGAGGGGTTGACAAAATAACAGCTTGTACTTGATGCTGCCTGTTTTTGTACAATCACAGAGCTAAGAATGGTTTCTGCATTTTTAAATACAATAAAACTTCATTTTAAAAATGCAAAAACCCTTCTTAGCTAAAAGTCCACATAAAAACAGAAAGAACGCCAAACTAGATGGAGCCCATGGGTCACAGCTGGCCAAACTCTGATCTATACCATGCACTAAGGTTCTTTCCAACTACAAATCTATGCTCTCATCATTCTTATTTCTGGAAGACACAAAAACATACACACACACACACACACACACACACACACACACTCTCTCTCTCTCTCTCTCTCTCTTTCAGTTCATGAACTGATTTATTCTTATTCATGATTTATTAAGTAGCTACTATGCATAAAGCTTATTAGAGAAGCAGTACAACATCTAGGATAAAGCTCTGGCTTTGTACTCACAAACACCTGGGTTCAGGTCCTATCTTGGATACACATTTGCCTGTGTAACCATGGACAAGTAGTTTCCTGACCTCCTTGTGCCCCAGGCAGACTCCAGGCCTGTAAGTTCGAAGCTAGTTGGCAATCTATAGATCTATATTGGCAGAGGGTGCTCATGATGAAATCACATGTCCTCAGAGAATATGGAGCCCTGTGAGCAGCATGGAGGGTATAAAGGTGAAGATCAAGACAGCCCCTGACTCCTGGTGGAAGTCATAAGGCAGGGCAGTCAGGGGCTGCCTCCAAGTCTGGATGACCTGGCTCCTGCCCTTTAGTCATTTGCTTAACACCCCACTTCCCCGAAAGGCTAACACTGTAAGTCACAGGAAGTAGTTGTACAAGGAGAGGCCTGACTCATCTCCATGAGACACTGAAATGTAAGGAAGGCATGGCTTATTAGCCTCTACCCTCTGGAGTAAAACTGTGTAGCTACACCACATGAGACTAACTTGTACTGCAGCTGAAAGAAACCCAACCCTCCTGAGGCTTTGTTCAGTTGCAGACTGGCACAAGGGCAGGCGAGGAGAGGGACGAGTGGGGAGACACCAGTGAACTGTGTACCCAGTGTACCAGGCTCTGCTTGAGGCCTCCTTTCATGGACGCCCCATGAACACCTTGGTCAAAGTGCACATACCCCTTAAAGAGAAACAAGAGAATTGTGTGCAGATAGGCACAGTCATGAAGAAAGGCTTCGGGACACCAACTGGTGTGGGTGGGAAGCTGGGACACAGCAGATGGGCAGGGGGAACTACTGAGCGAGGGCGAGAGAACATGTGCCCAGAACGGCCTGCAGCCCTGGATGAGGGTCAGTCAGGGTGAAGGTAGATGAGTGAATTTTTGCCAAGGCTTCGTTGTGGTGAGGGGTCCAAGCCCTCCTTCTTGCTCTCCCAACTCCACTTCTGGTTCTCTGGGCTTTGGCCTGGAAACCTCTCCTTCACCCCACTTACTCTGCAGCTCCCTTTACGTGCTATCTTTCCCTGTAGGGGTAAGATCCTTGAGGACAGGGACACCAGTGCTTAGCACAGTGCCTGGTACCTAGTAAGTGCTTAATAAATGCTTGCTGAATGATTTATGCCAGGTAAAAAAGGTTGGTTTAACATAAGGGAAATCCATAAATATAATAAGTCATTTTAATAATACCAAACATAACAACCATTATGATTATACCAATAGATTCTGAAAAAACCTTCTGACAAAATAAAACACTTATTTCTGTTAAAAAACACTAGAAAGTACGAGAATAAATAAGTCTTTCTTTAGCATGAATAAATAATATCTATGCACAACCAAGAGTAAACATTTTATATAACAGAGAAAGTTAGAAGCCAAAAAGATCAGGGGTAAAGCAAGGATGCCCAGTATCACTGCTACTGTTTAACTTAGTCCTAGAAATGCTAGTTATTGTTATAAGATAAGAAAGAGAAATTGAGGGAATATTCTTAGGCACAGGGAAAAAAAAATCATCACTTTTTTGTAAATGATATACTTTATTTAGAAAACCCTAAAAAGTCAGCCAAAAAACTAATAGAGAAAATAAATTCATCAAAATTTCAGGACATATAATAAATCCACATAAAGCATTAGCATCCTGTGTATTACCAACAAAATCCAGCAGGAAGAGCTAAAAAGAGAAAAGCCATTCAAAATAATCACAGAAGGTTTAATACATATAGCAGTGAATCTACCAAGATACACCCAGGAACTACATGACTCCAATCATAAAGCACACTACAGAAATAAAGATAAATCTAAAAAAATTAAAGAAATAAAAACTGCTTATGGGAAGGCCAAGCCAATATAATAACTTATTCAGGGACATTCCAATCAAACCACTACAAGATGTTATCACAGAACTAGAAAAATATAATAATGAAATTCATACAGAGGCACAAAAGATCAAGAATCTCGAGAAATAATGAAAAAAGAGAGATCTGAATTATAGCAATGATGGTTAAAATTATTAGATACTGGACAAAAAACAGAGAGGTTGATCAGCAGAATGTATTAGGAAAACATACAGAAGTAAATGAACACAATAACACAGTGTCCAATTAACCCTAAGACTGCAGTTACTGGGGAGGACTCACTATTTGACAAAACTGCTGGGAAAGCTGGAATGAAGCCTGGCAGAAATCTGGCACAGAGCACTATCTCTCACTGTACACCAAGATACTCCAAATGGATACGTGACTTAGACATAAAAGGTGACATTACAAGCAAATCAGAGACACAAAGAAGAAACTACTTTTCAGTTCTATGGACTAAACAAGCAAAAAAAGAGGATCACAAGACAAAATAGACAATCCGATTACATAAAATTTAAAAGATCTTGCACAAACAAATCTAATGCAGTCAAAGTTATAAAGGAAACAGGTAACGGGGGAGGGGGAGAAGAAGAAGTCTTTATAGCAATCTTCTCTGATAAAGGCCTCATATCTAAGATATATAAGGAACTGCTTCAGCTATAAGACTGAGAGCCATTCTCCAAAAGATAAATGGTCAAAGAATAGATCAGGTAGTTTTCAAAGGAAGAAATCCAAGCTATCAAAAATTATATGAAAAAAATGTTCCGAATCACTAATAATTAGAGAAATATGAATTAAAACAACTCTAAGGCTTCACTTATCCATTTGATGGACAAAGATGACAAGAAAGAAAAATGACATGTTGGAAAGGCTGTGGGAAAACAGGTACAGTGATTCACTATTAGTGGAGCTATGAATTGGTCCAGTCATGCAGGAAAGCGATAATGGCACTATGCCCAAAAAGATATTAAATTGTGTATACCCTCTGACCCAGCTACATCACTATTAATCCTATACCCCAAAGAGATCCAAGAAAGAAGAAAAGGACTTAGATGTACTAAAATTTTTATAGTAGCTCTTTTCATAGTAGCCAAAACTTGGAAACTAAGAGCAAATGAGTAAATAAATGTATGTAGGTAAATAAGTGTATGAAATGGAATATTATTTTGCCATAAGAAATAATGAAATGGGGGCAGTTAGGTGACACAGTGGATAGAGCACTGGCCCTGGAGTCAGCAGGATCTGGGTTCAAATCTGGCCTCAGACACTTGACACTTACTAGCTGTGTGACCCTGGGCAAGTCACTTAACCCCTATTGCCTCACTACAAAAAAAACTAAGAAATGGACAACTTCAAAGGAAACCAGGAAGACCTCTGATATAGAGGGAAGTGAGCAGAACTGGGAGTATAATTAACAAGATGACAACATTGCAGAAAAAAGCAACTTTGAAAGATAATAATAAACCATGAGTCCAGAAGTCTAAAGATCAAATAACCTGCCTCCTCCCAAAGACGTGATGGACTAAAAATGCAGAATAAGACACAGTTTTATACGTGGCCAATGCGAGAATTTGTTTTACTGGACTAGTGCACACTTGTTATGAATTTCCTTTTTCTTTTTTTTTAATTGTTCAATGGGGGAAGGGAGGTAGATTAAGATTCTAAACCACCGGAACTGAGTGGATTTATAGAAGGTGAAGAGGGAGGCAGTTCAAGGGCAGAACTGAACACACAAAAAAATAACACTGCCCTATAGATGAAAATAGTGCAACTTGATGTTTGAGGGGAAAAAAAGAATCTACCTTCTTGTTCTACTTTTTGACCTTGATCTCTGAGATCTATAGGATTTTCCTCGGCCCCTCGATCTACTCCGACTTCGTTTTCTTCTAGATCCATAAGAAGAGCTACTACTGGAACGGTGCCTGCGTCTGAAACAATTTTACATTGATTATGCTTTAATGGGAATTGGCTGATGATGTTGTTTCTATTGATACGAATAATATAATTTTACAGACTTGAAATATCACCAATTTTTGTCTAATTTGTCCCCTTTCCTTCCAGACCATGGATTCTTTATAAAGTCTTCTCTGAATCATCCACTCTCACCTCCCCACCCAAAAATATACTCTCCCTTCAACTTCTATAGCATCTTTCACATTTCTTACTGAACTTCCAGTACTCTAATTTCAAGTTGTAAATATTCCCTATCCATAGTACCAGAAGACAAACTCCCTGATGGTGGTCACTATCATATTCGAATTTCTTTTTAACTCTCCAGAGCACCTGAAATATTGCCTTGCACACATTAGGTAGTACTTAGTGTTTATTTAACTAAGTAATTAAGTATTAAGCACAGGGAAAGTATTCCACCCCCCCTTTAAACAAATAAGAAACAAAACAAAGTATTTCTCTTCAAATACCATTTCTAGTCACAAAATAGTAACAACCAGAAAATATTCCCAATTCCAGAGTAGTACACAGTCTTTCTAATAATGTTAGCTATTCTGAAATATTCCTAGTTTGCAGTACTTAAATGCATCATTTAAGTGTAATAAGAGCTTTTCATGCTTATGATTTCTAAGACAAAGGTCTGAATTTTTCAACTAGCAAAATAAATAGTCCCAAAACACAAGGTGATGGAATTCATAAACTCTACATTGAATTTCTTTTCCTTTGCTCACCTTCTATCATAAGAATGTGAGCGGGGCTGCAGATCTCTAGACCAAGACCTTGATTTGGATCTTGATTTCCTCCCTGTTCTCTTGTGGCTGAAGGTTCTGCTCTCTGAAGAACTGCTTGAAGAGGACCGTCTCCGATGTTTTTTTTTCCTCTTACTTCTACTCTCTTCTTCAGTATCTGAAGAACGACGTCCCATTTTTATAAGCTGAAGGTAAAATAAAATTATAATTATTTCTAATAGAGAAGTGTACTGTATATGTATAAGTACATACATGCACACACACATACATTATTCTTACAGGTGCCAGATGGAGAAATTCCAGAAGAGTATTTTGTGAAATTAAAGTCTTATTTTAAAAAGGCTGTAAATGTGCCAGCGTCCTTGATGTGACATGAGAAATAGCTAAGTTATGTTTTTTTGGCATTTCAAAGAAATTGCTTTTAGAATTGATGGCTGATTTAAATTTTCCCCCAAATCTTCAAATGCCTTACAAGAAAGCTAATGCCAGTAAAGGACACTATGGAAGTTTTCTTTTATATCTTAAGCTACATTTATCATCAGAAAGCATGACATATGTTTGGAAGACTTTCTACCTAGTCTTTCAATTTCATATTTTCTGAAAACAAAAGATCTTCAAAACAAAGGCTTGAAGCTAAAAATATTTCAAGTCTTTTCTTCAAAAAATTAAAATTTTAAAATCATTAAATTAACTCACTCCCTGTGAGGGAAAAGAAAATATTCAAGAATGTTCTCTTCGTGACCTCCACCAAGTCCTTTCAGCACTACAAGCTTCAATGTCTTCATGTATAAAATGAAGGGTTGGGTTCTATGGTCCCGAAGTCCCCTTCCAGGTCTAAGTTCTATGATCATTTGAGAAACGTATGTGCATCCAGACTAAGACCAGGGAAAAGAAACATTACAGCCCCAATCCATATGCAATACTGATGTTTATTTACACACAAGCTTACATGGATGCCACATTTTAAGAACACTAATAGGACATAAGCTCCTTGAAATAGAAACCTGTTTCATTACTGTCTCTGTGTCCCTAGTAATCGGGACAGTGCCAGGTACAAAGTCGGTGCTTCCTAAAGTTTTATAGATGAATATCATTAGGGGGAGAACACATGGAGGAGACAAGCAGGATAGGGAACGACCTCAAAATTATGCAACATGAGTTCTTCAGCTTGCAGAAAAGAAAGCTTATGGGGGAGCAAAGTAATAGGTGTCTTCAACTATTTAAAGAGTTGTCACATGGAAGTAGGATTAGACTTTCTCTGCTCAGGCCCAGAGGTCGGAAGCAGTAATACTAACAATAGCACACTTTGCAAAGCCCTCTGATCCTCACAACCACTGGGGAGGTTGGTTTAAGGATGAAGAAATCAAGGCTGAGAGCTAAATGACTTACCAAGGTCACACAACTAATGTCTAATCTAAAAGCTAATGTCACAGATAACGTCTGAACTCAGTATCTGAGGCAAGATGTGACCCCAAATTGTCCTGACTCCAAGTCCAGTACTCTTTGCAGAGGTAAACTTAAGTTTGATGAAAGGTCAATTCCCTTAACAATTAGTGCTATCCAGAAGTGGAATAGACTGCCTACTGGGACAAGGGGTCCACCCATACTAAATGTTTCCAGGCAAAGGACAGCTAATCACTTGTTGAGTATGTTTTTTTTGGGGGGGGGGGAGTGTTTCTTCAGATTTATGTTGCACTAAGAGATCACTGAGGTCTCCGGAGATTCTATAGATCCCATATCTCCGTGATATACATGAATACAAACACACACACATGTAAATATACAAACATGCATGTATATATACACATACAAAACACAGAGGAAGCATAGAATAGTGGACAGAGAGCTGTCCTCAGAATCAGAAAGACCTACATCACAACACAGCTATGTGATCTTCCATCAAAGGCACCACCAACCTTCCCAGAGAGAGGAAGAAAAGGGAAGGGAGGGAAGTGCAGGAGAGAGGACAAGAGGCTGACGACTTATATGTAAGATACCCAGAAATATACCTGGGGAAGGCACGCTACCAAGGAAATGTATTATCAGAAAATAAGGGGGGCTGGTCATGTGGCAATACTGAGGGAAAACAGGACAGCCTGAGGGACAACAGGTCCAGTGGTATTCACGAAATACAAAAAAAGGCCTAGAGGAAGGCCTCCAATATAATGACTGAACCTGTTCTAAGGATCCTTGGACAAAAATGAAAAAGAATAGCGTAAGACGATTAGGTATAAATAGAGATGTACCTATGGAGTGAATACTGACTGACATCAATAACATAGCAAAGCCAATATAACAAAGCCAATGAAGTAATGGTCAATTATTACAAAGGGTAAAAATTGTACTTACTCACATATTTGCTAATCTCACAAAACATGCAAATCCAAGCTGGATACTGGGATGGTTCACACTGTACTGACATGAAAACTGTCAACTGGGCTCTCGCTATCTCCTGCTCTAGACAAACAGATCAGGTCCAGAGGATACGCCACAGCAAAGAAGTGGAGGAGAAATATCAAGTGATCCATGTCTAATTTTGTATCCTATCAATGATGAGAGTAAAGAGAAAGGGGGGCATAAAAAGTTCATCATTTTAATTTTAAAGGGCATTAATCTGTCATGACAGATGAACTGTAATTTATCTCAAGAAAAAAAATCATAAAAGAGACTGGACCATAAAGGAAACTGAGCCAAAAATAGTCTGAAAACAAATGTCAAAGAATTATAAAAATGTATCGCTTAGCCAGAAAAAGTAAGACTGATCTGTGAATAATCTCAACAAGAGAAAGCAAAAGCCACTATGTATCTTTGTTACAGTTAACTTGGTTTTAATTTTTTTTCTGAATAAATATTCTAACAGTGAATCAATGGTGGAAATAAGACTAGATTCAAAAGCTACCTTCTCTAACTGAAAGATAAAATCAGAGAATGTTAAAACTTGAAAGAACCTTAGATCATTTCAGCTAAGCCTCTCATTTTACATGATGAAACTGAAGGCAAATGAGGAAAAACTGACTTACCTCAGACCACAAAGCAACTAATGGCAGAGCCAGGACTTGGACCCAGGTCTTCTGACTCAAGTCCAATGCTCACAGAAGCATCATTAGGCAGAAAACCAGGAAATCTGGGTTCTAGTCTCAGCTTTGTTCTATGGTCTTGGGCAAGTAACTCCCACCTCTGTGGGACTCAGTTTGTTCACCTGTTAAAAGGAGGGGACTGGACAAGTTAACATTCAAGGTTCCTTCCAATTCTAACATTTTATGATTCTAAAAATTCAACAGCTTTTAATTCTCTGCTTAGATGCAATACAAAGTGCTAGCTGTGGAATGGAGCATATAATCTAATAAAGGGTTGGTCATTCACATAACTAAGGAGAATTCAAGTTCAAATGGGGCAAGCGCCTGGCAGAGATCAAACCAAAAGAGATGAGAAGTTGAGGAGGGAAGGCACGCTGACAAAGTTTCATGAAACAGGTAGCACCAGAGCTGTCTTAAAGAGGCAAAGACTTAGAAGACGTTATTCCAGGACGTGGCCTGTGCCAGTGAAAAGGCAGGAAAAAGACAGACAGGATTAAAATAAGGAACAACCTGTATTCAAACTTTACTGGGAAACAGTGTACAGAAGGGAACAAAGTAAAATAAACTTGGAAAAATTAAATTCTTTGAATGCCTACAAGTATTACACTATGCAACTACTTTTATAACTCCCACTTGCTCATCACCTCAGATGTCCTTATGCCTACACGCAATATTGTTAATGCATAACTTATTTGTTCATTATTTATACTTCTACATGTTATTTCCTTTACTTCTATCCATGTAACTGTGACCTGCCTTAAATACAAATACCTAGAGAGCACGGACTAAAGGTATCTAACTTCATCGATAAAGGATTGGGCTTCACCATCTCCAGAAACTCATCATTCTACAAGATATCAGCTCGGAAACTCACACCTCCTCAGCACCCACCTCCTGCCCCCCTCGGACTGGGACTGGAGAGCTCCTCCCAGATACTCCACGATTTAAGAATGGTACCCACAGAATCCTCATCATTTCCCACCTGGCTACTTTCTTGGACTTAACTCCGGAAACACATCATTCTACAAAATGAAATCAATTTGGAAACCCGACCCGTCCTCAGACCATTTCCCTCCTCCCTATTCCCACTCCCCAGGATTTCATCACATTATTTTTATGTGTTGGCTCCCCCACTGGGCTGAGAGCTCCTCAAGGGCGGGGGCTGCTTCTGCCTTCCTTTGGATCCCCAGTGCTTAGCATGGTGCTGTCTGACTTTTGATTTGGAGGGTTCCATGCCTTAAGAGACAAAATAAAAGCTCTCTGATTGGATAACGAATTGATCACAGGTTCCTCAAGAGTCCCATATACTATCTTCTTGTCAATTCAAATTGACCACCTACAAAGAGAACCACCAGTGCAGATAACTTAACCATAAGATGACTGCAGCTGTCAATCTTTAGCACTGGAAACCTAGGGTCTCTAGCATAGTTCTTCATAGGCCAACCTCACCCAGTTCCTCATACAAGAAAACAAGGAAAATATTGACTACTGATAACTATTTTAGAACTTTCAGATACTACTCCCTCAAAAAAAAAATCACAACAGACACTCTCCCTATGTTACCTGGTAAAGATATGGAGCCAAAGTGGGACCATCCATGAAGAGAGACCGAAAGGCTTCATGGCTAATGTCAATTTTATTGCATTTTTGTGTCAGGCTTTTGGTCCTTTTCCGGTTTTTAAGACCTTTCTGGAGGCTGACAGCTGTCCTCAGTCAACGAAGACAAGTGTTCCCAAGTAGCACAGTTGTTTATACTTTCTTCAACTCATCATGTATAAAACTGAAATCATCTCCTATGATAAACCTACCCTTCCCATCTTCTTTATTTCTTTTCCCCATTTTCCCGGTATCTCAAGCGCTTTGACAAACTCGCCTTTAGTCCATGTCTAATCAGTTACTATATCCTGTCATTTCTATCTCCCACTACAACTACCTTCAGCTTCTCATCTCTAAATCACAGAGGCCTCAGGTCTGGCCCACACCTGAAAAAGAATCCTGCTACAACATATACTAGTGGTCATCAAGGTCTGTTTGAAAGGCCTTCAGGAAGAAGGACTCCATGACTCTACCCTTTGTAGCTAAACTCTTCAAAAAGGTCATCCACAATA